CAGTGACGCCAACTGAGACCATTTCTGTGTGTCTTCCACCTGCTGCTTCAATATTTACAGCTGAGCTCCAGGCCATTCTTCAGGCTTTGGAGTTCATTCAATCATCACATTTACTACAGCACATCATCTTTACTGATTCTCTGTCCTCGCTTCAAGCAATTAACAATAAACAGCTTGAACACCCATTAGTAGCAGATGTTTATCGTCTTCTACTATCTTACGAGTTGAGCAGCAAGGACATTGTCTTTTGCTGGCTCCCCAGTCACGTTGATATAAAGGGGAATGATCAAGCAGATTTTGCTGCCAAAGCTGCTTTAGATCTTCCCCAATCCCCCTTTTTAATACCATATAAAGATTTTAAATCATGTATAAATCATTTTATTTATGACCGCTGGCGGTGAAGCACATTTTGATCGAGTGCAAGTATCTTGGAAATATTAGATCTAAATTTTACCGTTGCCAGACATTACATCATTTATTTGCTCAACCGGAGCTATATTGTGAGATACTAAACTTTTTAAAAGAGACAAAATTTTATTATCAGTTTTAACTGTATATATATATGTATCCTATCTTCTTTCAATTTAATTGTTTATATACATAAAGTATTTGATATTTATTTTTAACGTTATTTATTTTTAACGTTATATATTATCTGTGATATTTGTTTTTATTTATGGATATAAATATATTTCTGTGATTTCCTTTATTTTGTCTTGAATTTTTCACCATATGTTTGGCGCAATATAGCCCGATTGGAGCTGACGTGCCATAAAACCACATTTCATTCATTCATTATATCGAATTCCAACTGCCAAGGGATCTTTTACTTGCACGTCAATGTCTACAAGGGACCTCGGTTTTTCGTCCGAACTGACAAGGGGGAAACCACGCCGGAAAATCTGAATGAACTTTCCCGGCCAATGCAGGGATCGAACATCCGAACTCGAGCCTAGCGAGCCAGCGCCTTACCCACTTAGCCATGTGATCCCCCCACATATATTAACATGACACGTACACCTCTCTAGAACATCTGATGGCAGAAATTGAAATGGATTAGAATGCCCGAGAGATTTAAAAATTCAACGCTTAAAATGTATAATCGAGAGTTAGTCTCGTTTGTCCAGTACCGTTGCTACGATAATAACCAATCTACGCTACATCTTCCACAACACTCATAGATTCGCAGAGCATGGAGTCATTTTAATGACATTTTTAAATATAACCATTTTTCTATATTTATAGCAAGAATGATCAGCTCTATATCCAAATCTGTAACACATCTTCAACAATAAAAGAAATATACAACACTGAAAAATAAGTTTCTTAAAAATCGCCTTGACTCGAGATAGAAGGTTTTGAATATTTGAAACATGTTCAATTAGTCTTCAATGAGAGGTTTTCTGTTTTAAACGCATCATGAACCATCTTCGTATTTATCTTATTCACACAAAACAAGGAACAACAAATAAGGTTCTAAACTCTACAATAAAGCTCCTTACTCGAGCTGAACCTTCCTCTGAGAGTATATTCCGGTTTCTCATGAAATCAATTAGCATTTAGGGAAAATGGGGTTGGGTAAACTCAATGTCCCCATCCCCCGGAGTAACAGAGACGAAAATATAGTAATAGTCATAACAAATTGTAATGCTACCCAAGGCATATTACAATAGGTCTGCAAATTTTTGTGTAGCAGTTCAATTGGGCCTGGTAAGTTTTATTTATGCTGTCTATCCATCCTTTTTTCTGTAGCTTAGTTACTGATAGGTTAAAAGCCTGTTGCGGTTGTGGGCCACCTGGAAGATAAATATGCAAATGACATGTGTTGAAGTAGTTCATGAACACTAAACTCCAAAATGCCAAGGCTGTATAATGGCATGATGTTTTCAAATGTGTGGCTTTCATGAAGGCGCGAAACACCGTCAGCTAAGACATTTTTGGTTAGTACTAAGTACTCTGCATTCAGATTGAAATTAATGTGCTTTGTAACCACACTAGTTATCGTAACTGGAGCATTATCAGCGATTGGTGTGAGGAGCCAGTGCTGATGCAATTTATGGCACTCATTATCAGTGGCGATGATTACGTTCAAGTCTATATCATCATCTAACAATATGAGATATTATAATCATTCATTCAAGTCTATACCATCATCTAAAAATATGATGTATTATAAACATACATTTAATTCTATATCATCATCTAACAATATGATATATTATAATCATTCATTCAAGTCTATACCATCATCTAAAAATATGATGTATTATAAACATACATTCAATTCTATATCATCATCTAACAATATGATATATTATAATCATACATTCAAGTCTATATAATCATCTAACAATATGATATATTATAATCATACATTCAATTCTATTTCATCATCTAACAGTATGAGGATATATTGACCATCACTAAATTAATACATGCATGTGTGAAGTATGAATTATTATAAGATATTGAAATACCAATATTTTACAATGTACACCTTGATGGTCTGTGAGATACTAGCTGCACGATGTGGCAATCTCTGATAAGAATTACGGTCTAAATATGGTGATTATTATTCTATTTTGCAGACGCAAACAAAAAGTTTCTCTTTCTGAAGGAATGGAGTTATTTTGTGGCGCTCTCGCATAGGTCATACATTTTAAACTCACATTTTCATCTTGAATGGGAACACTATCATTTTCCATTTACAGTTACGTACATTTTGATGAGTGCGTGTATTTTAATGAAGTAGAATCAAAATATTTTATTTTATTTTAAATGTACAGAAATACTTCACCATATGTTTGGCGAAATAAAGACCGCATGGTTCTGACGGACCATTAAACCACATTTCATTCGTTCATTGATAGTCTGTGAATGAAAACACTTTCTTGCAGTATGATCTGTTAACGTGGGTTAACAATGTAAATATATTTATCCATATATACGATACTTGCTAATCCCTTTAAAGGCTCAATACCACTCTTGTTGTAACTGAATAATATGTCCCAATCTTTATTCTGGTCAACAAATTGTACTATTTTACAATGTTCCAATTAATTGATGATACAAACTTCATTTTAACACACCTAATTTAAAAAATTGGAAAATTTCAACTAAATGAATTGAAAAGCCTGACGTAAAGCTTTTCAAATGTGACTTGGATTTTGAAATATTTTTGAACCCTTTGGACAAGTAAAAAGGATTTAATGGATAATTTACACAACAGGTAGGACACTAACACATCTAGTACTTATAATAAGGTTATTTTTTATTTTCTGGAGCTGTCAAGCCAGCAAGAGTGTTATTGTCCCTTAAATGTGCAAGGTGTTATTTAGTCGTTTTCGTTACGCTATTATTGAAATATGTTAGATATGTGCGACAGATACAGAAATCCCCAGCATTAATATCTAGTATAGTGATATCCGTTTAAAATGGGACTTGTGGTTCTCCACCTGGAAACAATATTTTACTTTTAAGCACGCTTAGCAAATGCACTACTTACAAGGTATTTCAACATCCATAATAACACACAAACAAACATAGCTTAGATTATCACATTACCATTAAATAACTTACCATTACAACATACGGTCGTCAGAAATCAGATGAACTTACCATTACAACATACATTCGTCAGATAACATCAGTTACACAGGTCTGTTGTGAAAACTTGGGATAAATAACAATATAAATCTAGGTTAAATTGTATAATACAAGAATGGCCGTTTGGTATCACGTGATATATTGAATACGTCCGTGTTATAAAGATTTATTAGTGCAGGCTGTTGCATGACTTGGTTGGTTAGCGTTTTGATATGACAGTGTACTTCAGCTTGAATAATAAACAACGTGAATGGTGTATAATTAGTTATGGGAGAATTTGTGGCTGTTTTTCTTGTAATATCTTTTGGTAATAGATCATATTATATATATCAAAGACAAATTATAATTAATGATCTTAGTAGGAGATCACACAAATGTATTTGTTTGGTGTAAAATTAACTGTGTAGGTATTGTAATCATTATTTAGGTCAACTTAATCTTTTATAATAGAGGTACGTCACAGGTAATAATATCCAGGCCATTTATACAAAAGGATATCATGATTTCAATATAATTATACGCCATTGTTTCGTTCCCAGAAGGCAGGTTTAGGGTTTTTTGAGTAGAGCTCAACTCCTCAGCTTTAACTGATGTCACTATTGGGCGTGTGTTATAACTCATTTATCATCGATTTCAAACCCATGATTTTATGTGGCAAAGAGTAGTATATCTGGTCTACGATCATTGGTTGTTGCCGTCTTCTCCGGTTCGCTCGCTGGATCAAGATCTCGGCGTCGTTTCAGTTTATGTTAATAAGTCACGTGATATCCTATATTTGCATAAAATGTAATGAGAGAAATGTAAAATGTTGAATTTTTCCTATAAGACATTTGAATAATAACTTTTAACGTGTTACATTTAACTTTGGCCTTAGAGGTATCTTGACTTTAACATTATCAGGACTTTGTACTTTTACATATAATCAATCGAAATGACATTTATTATCATTGGATTTTGAGTCAACTTATAAGGTATGTTAATAACCCAAGGATTTTGGTTCCTGTCATAGTCATATTATGACACCGACGCACACAACTCGAAAACCGCGGACGGGAGTGGGAGGGGCTTGCCATTCAGTAAGACGACCTGTGATTGGCTGGCCGAAGCATCCTCGGGAATTTCCGGGCAGATGTACGAACTTTCCCGAATATTTAGTTCGTTAGATAATTCATTTATAAGACTTAGAAAATAGATTTATATAGCTACCATAATATTTACAAGACTTTATAAATCATTTATCAAGCTATGAAAATAATATTCAATTCAGTCACACGCTTCGAGGGGTTTCAGCGTTCGCACGTGCCTAAGTAAGTAATTAATTATAAAGCTTTATAAATGGAATTAGTAAGTCATATAAATGGAATTAGTAAGTCATATAAATGGAATTAGTAAGTCATATAAATGGCCCATTGTGACCGCATCCGCCCGTCAAAAATATGATAATCTAAGCCATGTTAGTTTGTGTTATTATGTATGTGAAAATATTTCATATGCCTTGTATATTACCTTTAAGTAGAGCATTCATTGTTATGCTCGGCAAAATACACCAGAAGTCTTAATCGAACTGCAATCTCTAGCGTCTAGTTATTCCAGTCTACATCTAAAGTATTTAGTGCGCATATGGCGTCACCGTTTAACGTGGCTTATGGAATATGTCTAGCCTCTTTCTTCGAGTCCCTTGTTACAAATAGCCGCTGAAACGCATTATGGTACACGATTCGTGTGCCAATGGTAAAATGTTTATTTTGTCTTAAATATTGGATATCAGAAGCCCATCTTTTCCCGGTAACATCGCAACATCACCACGTGGACATTCTACAGCTCAAAATCATTATCCTATTTTGATGAAACTTAATATATATGTTCATATCACAACGATAATGGTTCCTGTCGATACTGTCGAATATGGGACCGTGATGTCTTGGGTTATATGCCCTTGATTGCAAGAAAAATCACGTGAAAAGGTTGAACAATGAGAAGATGAGCCTTATTGATTGTCCTGTTCTCTGTTTCAAAATATGGGTAGATGTTGCTTAGCAAAAGATGCTTTATTACTTTGCACCATAAACTCGTGTTATGAATATAATTTACTGATGAGATTATTTCATAATAATCAATTAAACCTCTCATTATTTCATATCTACGTTGTTTTGTTACAGTCAATGGTGTGTCTTCCTGATAGCTTCATACCAAAAATACCAACAAACAAATGAAATATGGCTTCCTTGAAAGGTAACCTAAAATTAAACATAGCGAATATTTTGTAACATTATTTTCTGTAAATCAATTCAAGATCCATATATAATTGTTGCAGATACATTATGCAAGAGCTAAATCTGCATATTACATGTCTGGCTTCAACTGTTGTATACAGTGTTATTAATACATTTAATAATTTAATGATAAATTGGATAATTGTGTCTGTGTTTATTGCAGCAATAGTAATTGTCAATCTTCGAACACTCATAACGTCACTGAGATTAAAGTATTTTGACTGAAATATATTAATTTCACATTATCTATTTTTGAACTATTATAATTATTAAATCTTACATAATGCATCTTTAATATCAAAAAATATTAACCCTAGAAGATCCGTGTTGATAATACACCATATACTTCAATTTTAAATTAATTTTTATATGTCCCACATTTTCATGTGAACGTATTATGCCTTCGTCCCTGTAAGTCCCAATTTTGATCCCATTTTGACGTATTATGTAACGGAATACATAACTCTTGTAATTAATAATAAGGTTTTAATACTGGAACATATATACAGGTAATACAGGAATCAAACATATATATAGAACATTGTAACATCTCTGGTATGTAAACTACATCTCGTGGAATCTCGTGGGATGTGGAAACCCACGCTAGGGGGAGACCCCTAACTTGACCTCTAGTTTCTGACTCCCTGTCTCGAACTTTAACTTTGAGCCTCCCTCTAATATGGTGGCTGATTGGTATCATGTCGTAATGTCGTGATGTCGCCTTTCATAACGCGACAACCCGACACCACGACATTTTTACCCGACATCACATCACTAATGTCGTAATGTCGGGTAAAAATGTCATGGTGTCGGGTTGTCGTAATGTCGGGTAGAAATGTCGTGATGTCGGGTTGTCGCGTTATGAAAGGCGACATCACGACATTACGACATGATACCAATCAGCCACCATACTCTAACCTTAGCGCGGTCGTTTAAATAATGTGTGGTAACATCATGTCACGTGATCTTACAAGGCAATCTTGATTGACTAACTCTTGCCATACAATTGAGCCGATTGGACAACGATGTCATATCGGATTGATTAACAGGCCATCTATTGCGTAAACAACAAGACTTGAATAATATAACCTAATGAAGACATTATGTAATGTGTGTTGTTACAACCGAATTAATTGGCCTTTGTAATTACAATAGAGCTAAACTTGTCAACTCAAGATTCCCTAACTTTAATCTCAATAAAAGAGAAAATGGTTATTGAGGATTAATATTACACAATACGTGTTACAACAGGTGGACCCAATTAACGTCTCATTAAAGTAAGTTAAATAACTCAATAGTGCAAGTGCTTACCTGAATATGTAAAATAAACCATTATCAAAATACCCAACAGTATTTTGTAACAATTATGTCGTAGCCCCTGTCCGTTCACATTTTTCTTCCGATTTTGACGTATGATGGCGTCGCTCCTGTCCGTCCGTTCACAATTTGTTTGTGGGCACCCTACAGGTCACAATTTTCATCTGATTTTCACAAAACTTGACATAATATAGGTTTATCTCCCAAAGATCTCGGATCCTTTCGATATTGGTATAACTTCATGGATTATGGCCACTGACGTTTTTAGTTTTTGAACACTCTAGAGGTCACACAATTTTCATCTGAATTTGATTAAACATGAAATGCATGTTTATAACCCAAAGATGTGGGTGCCTGTCGATTTTAATGAAACGTATGTTTATATTCCAAAGGTCTTGGTTCCTTTCGCTATGTGCGCATATCGGACCGTAACTTCCTGGATTATGACCCCTGGTGTACGAAATATCGCCTTGTGTACCATCTAGAGGTCACATCAGATTTTACAAAACATTTAGAGTACACTCTAAAAACGATTCAGTTCGAATTTCGTGATAATCGGACCGAAACTACCCTACAAAATGACCGCTTCATGCATGCAAATAGCGTAAAAGTGTGTAATACCGTCTAGAAGTCACAATTTATATCAGAATTTGATGAAACTTAAAATATGTCTTTATGTCCCAACGATCTAGACTCCTGGCGATATTTGCGCGAATTAGACCGTAACTTTCTGGATTATGGCTCCTGATTTTGCGAACAATCGCATTTTTTCCTTGCGAACCCTCTGGATGTCACACATTTTATCCGATTCTAAAAGCCATTTAAATATATCATCGTTACACCATAATGGTGGTTGTGTTTGAATTTCGTATAAATCGGATCGAAACTGCCCGAAACAATGGCCGCACCTTTAAATATATGTTTATAACCCGAAGATCTAGGTTCCTGTAGATATTCATGCATATCGGACCGACACCTCCGGGATTATGGCCCCTGATTGTTCAAAAAATCACTTTATTTAACCTTTTTCTCTTTCCATTTCTTGTAAAATGTGGGTGCATCTTTCATGACAACCGCTTGATAGTCTCATCAAGAAAACCAAGAGAGAAGTATATCATTTATTTCTTTCATATTACTTTATAGATTCCCCTAAGAGAACAAAAGTTGAACGGATCAACAGGCCAGACACCCACTCTCCAGATTTCTACCAACTTCAAAATATAGTGCTACTAGAAGACGACGGAGCTTCTTCAACTAAAATACCACAACGATTAGCACCCGGAAAGACCATGGTGCACATGTCAACATTTAAAGACTACCATGACCAGATTGGTAACAAGAATGTGATACTAGAAGCTTGTAGACATGGTTCAGTTGCCAAAGTTAGACATTTAATAGATCAGGGTACAGATGTCAACAGTAAGGACGTACATGGTAGAACATGTATCTTACTTTGTAGTACATCACCCATTGAACCCATTGAAAAAATAGACTTTTTACGGTCAAAGGGAGGTAATATTCAAGATATCGATGATGAAAACAATGGTATATTACATTTGGCTGGTGATTTAGGGACGCTAGAAACAGTTCAGTATCTTGTAAATATAGGGTTAGATATCAACACTAAAGGTTATAAAAGTAGATCTTGTATAATGGCGTGTAGTCAGTCTAAAATACAAGCTACTGATAAAATAGAATTGTTAAGACAGATGGGTGGCAATATTCTTGATACAGATGTAAAAAATGATAATTTGTTACACTTAGCATGTCATAGTGGTTCACTAGATACAGTAAGATATCTAATTAATCAAGGCCTGGATATCAATACTAAAGGGAGATACGGAAGGACATGTATATTGTTATGTAGTCAATCTGAAACACAAGCCATTGAGAAAATAGAACTATTGATATCAAAGGGGGGTAATATATATGATACTGATGATGATAACCATGATATGCTTCACTTGGCTTGTATGTTGGGTACACTAGAGACTGTCAGATATATGATAGACCTTGGTTTAGATGTAAACGCCAAATGTAAGAACTTTAGAACACCCATATTACATTGCTGTACGTCAGTAATACAACCCATTGAGAAAATAAAAATAGTAAGTTTTAAGGGTGGTAATATTTATGAAATTGATGGTAAAAAATATGGTATATTACTCATAGCTTGTGCTAGTGGTACATTAGATACTGTAAGATATCTGATAGATCTAGGTTTGGATATTACTGAAATACAAGCCACCGAGAAATTAAATTTATTTATGTTAAAATGGGCTAATATATATAACACTAAATTTCACTATGGTGGTATATTACACGTGGCTTGTGCTGATGGTACATTAGATACAGTAAGACATCTGATAGATCTAGGGTTGGATATAAACACTAAAGCTTTAAAAGGTAGAACATGTATCTTACAGTGTAGTACTTCTAAAACCCAACCTATTGAGAAAATAGAATTATTAAGGTCAAAGGGAGGTAATATTAATGATCGAGATACTGATAACAATGGTATGTTACACCTTGCTTGTATTTCGGGTACATTAGATACTGTAAAACATCTGATGGATCTAGGGTTGCGCATCAACAACAGAGGCGAGTATGGTAGAACTTGTATCTTGACCTGTTCCCAATCTACAACCCAAGCTAGCGAGAAAATAGAGTTATTAAGGTTAAATGGGGGTAATATCAATGACACTGATGATGATAACCATGGTATATTACACCTTGCTTGTGGCGTTGGTACATTAGGTACTGTTAAATATCTGATAGATCTTGGGTTGGATATCAATACTAAAGGGAGGTTCGGCAGTACGTGCATCTTGTATTGCTGTGAATCGGAAACACAAGCCATTGAAAAAATAGACTTTTTAAGGTCAAAGGGGGGTAATATTCATGACCGGGATGATAGTAGCACAGGTATATTACACCTTGCTTGTGTAAACGGCACGTTAGACATCGTTCAATACCTAGTTAATCTAGGACTAGATATAAACAGTAAAGATGGATCAGGAAACACGCCTGTTTCATTCAGTTTTATGTCTGGTGTACAATCTCGTCAAAAACTAATTTTTTTAATGTCCTTAGATGCCGAACTTTCATGGCTCGAGTGGTTAAAAGTCGATTTTCTTACACTCTTTTAACAGCTTAATCCATACTTTATAGTTAAATAAGCCTGAATTAGGCATGAGTTAAACATTACAGATAAAAAAAAATACAATTTTAATATTCGCCAATCTTTCATTATTTTAACGGATCAAATGATATCAAACCAAAGCTATAAACACCTGAGTATGGATTTATTACATACAGTGTCTGTATGAATGAGGTAAAATACATTCATACTTTACAGTAAAATATACAGTTTCTGTATGAATGAGATAATGCCATTTATTGTAGTACTTACTATTCGATCTTCACGTTGCCTTCACTTCCGTGACTAAAATTATAACTACAGTTCAGCGTCAGGATTTTGTTGTTCTGTTTTTTTATTCATATAAAAAAACGTTAATCATTAGTCACAAATGAATCTATAAACAATTATTAGTCAATGCCATAATATTATTACACCATACTTTACAGTGAAATATGCTGAAATGCACCAACAGAATAAGCGATTTAAGCATTTCCCCCATTTTACGGCAGTCGGCTTTTGTTAATTCCAAAGAACAATTTTGTCGATCATATTTTTTTATTTTATACTGTAATACAACTAAAGATACATCATATAAGAGCTAACTCTGCCTGGTGCAGGTCTTTCTGTTGCCTCAGATGTTATATAAATTATTAATTAGAAATTGATTTACATGACAAGTATATAATCATATCGTCTGCTACTATCTTACGAGTTCAACAGTAAGGACGTTGTCTTGTGCTGGCTTCCCAGTCACGTAGATATAAGGGGAAATGATCAAGCAGATTTTGCTGCCAAAACTGCTTTAGGTCTTCCCCAATCACCCTTTTTAATTCCATATAAGGATTTTAGACCTTCAATTAATCATTTAATTTATGGCCGTTGCCAAAACTGCTTTAGGTCTTCCCCAATCACCCTTTTTAATTCCATATAAGGATTTTAGACCTTCAATTAATCATTTAATTTATGGCCGTTGGCAACGGTCGTGGGATCTTGCAGGCACTAACAAACTTCATCACATTAAGCCTCTCGTAGAAGATTGGCCCAACTCCTATAGAACTAACAGGAGGGATGAAGTTGTTTTGTGTCGCTCTCGCATTGGTCATACTTTTTTTAACTCACATTTTCATCTTGAAGCGAGAGCCTCAACCAGAATGTGAACACTGTCATGTTTCTTTGACGGTGAAGCACATTTTGATTGAGTGCAAGTATCTTGGAAATATTAGATCAAAATATTACCGTTGTCAGACATTACAACATTTATTTGCTCAACCGGAGCTATATTGTAAGATCCTTAATTTTTTAAAAGAGACAAAATTTTATTTTAAGTTTTAATTGTATATATGTAACCCGTCTTCTTTCATTTTAATTGTTTATATTCATAAAGTATTTGATATTTATTTTTAATTTTATATATTATCTGTGATACTTGTTTTTATTTTTGGATATAAATATATTTCTGTGATTTCATTTATTTCGTCTCGAATAATTTCACCATATGTTTGGCGCAATATAGCCCGGTTGGAGCTGACGTGCCATAAAACCACATTTCATTTCATTTTATGTTCCCAGCGAATAATAGCACCAATAGCTGCTTTCATCAAGGTTTGAATAGTACTTACATATTTTCAAATTACGGACTGGCACAAAAATAACAACGTACCATTGTTGGTTTTAGATTTAAAAGGCATATCTTGTATGTAGGCTCTATTTCTATAATGTAAACACGATTTTCAAACCCAAGTTTTGTTTCAAATTTCTCCAAATGCCAGATGATTTTCAAATTGTTAACCATGCATATTTTAATATAAACATATCGAGTATGATTATAGAGTTTGAATTGAGGATTTACAATCAAAAGTTATATAAATTGTGTGGGGATAAATAAAGGGAATTCCTAACATAAATATCTGAAAATTATGTATACAATATACCATTCTAATTCAGCTTTAATTGGATGTTTGATCAATTGAAGATTATTGTTTTAAAGTTAGATATTCAGCTTACTCTTTCTAGAACACCTGTTGCCACCTCCCGTTTGGAGAGTTGACACAGTTAATAATATTATCTATATCTGTTTTCAATTAGCCTGTTTGGTACTGACGTGCTATAAAACATCAACTAATGTTCATGTAATATTATCTCTATTTGTTTATTCATCCTCTGGGTAATTTACATACAATCACCATTGGTCCTTTATAATATTCATGTGTTTGTATTATTCCATTATTTCTATAGATCTATAATAATATCTATATCTGTTTATTTATTGTAATAAAACTAATGTTATTTTCTTAATTGTTGTATAATTTACCTTGGATGTTTTGTCCATTATAATATTCACGTGTTTGTATTATTCCATTGTTTCTATAGATTACCAACTGATCTATAATAACATCTATAATGTTCTTATATTTATTGGTGTTTTTTGTTGTTTCGGGACTGGACGTATAACATGTATTTGTTTATTTACTGTAATAAAACTAATGATATTATATTCAATTGCTTGTATAGATTACCAAATGATCTATAATCATATGTATATTTGTTTATTTACTGTAATAAAACTAATGTAATTATATTTACTGGTGTTTTATTGTTTCGGGATTGGACGTATAACATGTATTTCGTTCTAGGCTGGACGTTTGGGTATAAACATACATTTTAATTTTCATCAAAATCGATAAAAATTGTGACCTCTAGAGGCTCCACAAGCTCAAATCTTGGGTTTGTGTACAAACCGGGACAACAATCCAAGACACTACAGTCCAATATGTGCAAATATTGACAGGGACCGAGATCGTTAAGAGATTTATATATCTATATTCTAAGTTTTGATTTAATCGGATAAATATTGTTACCTGTAGAGGATCCACAAACAAAAGTAAACGGACGAAAATGTGGGAGTATAAATGTGGGGCTTGTTGATTCGTTATCGTTATAGCGACAGCAGTTTCAAACGAAATTGGGTTGAATGATTGGTTTTTGAGAGGTCGATCCCTGTCGATTTTTCACCGTTGAGCGCCATCTCTTTCACGACGCCCACCAACCCTCTTGTGTTCCCTTAAACTTTCTTCGCATAGCAGAGACAACAGTTTATAATGGATTTGGTTCAATTTTCAAATGCACTATCTATTTTCAGCGCCCCGTTTCCGAGTTATCAGCCTTTTCCGAACACTTGAAGTGAAATGGGGTCATGGGCATCCTCCCTCGCAATCCCTAGTCGAATCATGTCGCTCTACTCCACTAACTAGGGAGTATTCAAATTATTTGCCCTTGATGATTTCATTGGTCCAAGCAACATATTTACAATATAGCAGGTTGTGCGTTCAAGTATGAGAAAATGTTGACAAGAATTGTAGAATATTGGTCTGAATGATCGACACTATAGATGAACACTGATGATTTTCAGAAATCTGAAGATGTATTTCTTGAAGGATACTAGATATTTATGAGATTTAGTTACTAATCTGTTGTTGAGACATAGCTGTTTTGTGCGACACAAACTAGGTCATTTCGGGACTAACATATGGTTTCATTTTATTTCAACAACTCGCTTGCGCGGAGGACCCGGAGAAAACCCACGAGGTTGGACAGGCGACCCTACTCCTTGTCACGTACAACCGGGGATTCGAAACCACGCCAGTCGACTCAATGACAGACTTTATGATACAGCGCGCGCACGCTAACCATTCAGCCATCCAACCCACCACCCCCCAACCCACGCAGACTAATAATTGTAGAATATTGGTCTGAATGATCGAGACTATAGATAAACACTGATGATTTTCACAAATCTGAAGATGTATTTCTTGAAGGATGCTAGATATTTATGAGATTTAGTCAATAAATATGTTGTTGAGACATAGCTGCTTTGATAAATTGATAAAACAATTAAATAACAATAAAATAATAATTTACAAACATATTAGTCTTCATTATTCAGTTTCTGTTTTAAACTCAAATGTTAAATTGGATTATCTTCCTATAATATCCTTCCACAAAACAAATGGCAACATCTATAAACATCACAGAGAGAAGATTATTCGACACTTTACTCGTGCGCTACAATGGTTTTCCCCCTTTTCCGCTTTGTATAATGTTTTACCAGTCTCTCGGACAGTGAATTTTTCAATTTTGTTTTTAAAATAGTGTGATAAGATCATGTATATTGCATTATAGTACAATTTGTTGAGCAGAATGAAGATTTTGACATATTATTCAGTTACAGCAAGAGTGACAATGTCCCTTTAAATATATTAGTAAGTAGTGAGTATTAATAAGATATTATAACCATACATTCAAGTATATATCATCATCCAACAATATGAGGAGATATTAACCGTACCTAAATTCACACATGCATGTGTGACCTATATGAACAATAAGAATGACTGAAATGTGGTTTAATAGCACATCAGCGCCAACTGGGCAATAATTCTCCAAACATATGGTGTTTTACATGATATAAACTAAATAATGATTCACTAAAGTAACGAGTGACTGCCATGCAAGAGATAGACAGAGAACGAGCTAAACAGATAATGTAAAACCAGGGGCCATAATCCACGAAGTTCTGGTCCGATATGCACGAATTTAAAGTTTCATCTGTTAACGGGGATTCTAACAACCTAAACATATTATAGTCGATAAGACTGAGATGTTGGACAACCCTTCAATGTACAGGGTGTTGTTTAGTAGTTTTTATTACGTTATTATTGTCGTACACCAGTCGTCAATAATAAATCTTTTATAACATGGATGTATTCAATATATCACGTGATTCCAAATGTATAATACATCCTTTATGCTCGAGATATTGTTGTACAAATTTTAACCTAGATTTATATAGTTATTTATACCTGCATTTCACTAGACATGATTATAAAGATATGATTTTAGTTTGTTAAAGTATTGCAGGTCATCTGATTTCTGTAACTAATGTTATATGACGACTGTATGTTGTAATGGTAAATCATCTGATTTCTGTAACTGATCTTATCTGACGACTGTATGTTGTAATGGTAAATCATCTGATTTCTTAACTGGTGTTATCTGACGACTGTATGTTGTACTGGTAAGTTATTTTAGGTAATGTGATTATCTAAGCTATGTTTGTTTGTGTTATTATGTATGTGGAAATATTTCATATGCCTTGTATATTACCTTCAAGTAGGGCATTCAGAGTTATGTTCTGCAAAATACGCCAGAATTCTTAATCGAATGGCAATCCCTAGCGCCTAGTTATTCCAGTCTACATCTATAGTATTTAGTGCGCATATGGCGTTACCGTTTTACGTGACTTATGGAATATGTCTAGCTTCTTTTTCGAGTCCCTTGTTACAGATAGTGCTGAAACGCATTATGGTAAACGATTCGTGTGCCAATAGTAAAATGTTAATATTGTCTTAAATATTGGATATCAGAAACTCATCTTTTTCTGGTAAGATTGCAACATTACCACCGGTCGTTTGGACGTCCATTCACATGTTGTTTGTGGACATTCTACAGGTCACAATTATTATCCGATTTTGATTAAACTTAAAATATATGTTCATATGACAACGATAATGGTTCCTATCGATAATTCCGTATATGGGACCGTAACGTCTTGGGTTATGGTCCTTGATTGTAAGAAAAATCACGGTTGTAACTTGTTGACCTTTAGGAGGTTACAATTATTATTTGATTATTATTTGAGCCTTATTGATTGTCCTGTTGATGAATATGGGTGGATGTTGCTTAGCAAAAGATGTTTTATTACTTAGCACCATAACGTCGTGTTATGAATATAATTTACTGTTGAGATTATTTCATAATAATCAATTAAACCTCTCATTATTTCATTACTACATTTTTTTGTTACAGTCAATGGTATGTCTTCCTGATAGGTTCATACTAAAAATACCATCAAACAAATGAAATATGGCTTCCTTGAAAGGTAAGCTAAAATATAAAAGTTGTGACTTCTAATCATCTTGTGACCTGTAAATTTCAATCGGTAATTGTGTTGTTAACCTGGTTAATGGTGTTCAAATTCTTGGTGTAATTTTGAATAATATGAACATGAATGCTAACATCTCCTAAATCTGTAAAGCTTCCAACTTCACAAAATTTGACGGATCCGCAATTTCCTCAACATTGACTCTACCAAACTGTTAATTAACTATTTTTTGACCTCACGTCTCGATTACTGCAACCCGTTACTCTACAACTTACCAGCATATCCAATTAGTATACTACAGAATGTTCAAAACAAAGCTGCAAGAATTGTTACAAGAACTAAATTATACACCAAACATATTACCCTCGTTTTGAAAGAACTAAACTGGCTACCGATTAAGACCAGAATCGATTTTAAAATTCTCATGCTGACCTTTTGTGCTTTGTCGTGTGATGACTATCCTCAATATATTAAAGAATTAATTCAACCTTACCACCCTACCAGAATTCTTCGTTCCGAAACTAAGTACCTTATTAAATCAGTAACTGCAAACTCTCATTTCGGTAGACGCCCCTTTGTTTTTCCGACAGCAGAACTGTGTTATTCTAATGATTTTCCTATAGAACTTCAGCACTGGGTTAGGGTTAATTGACAGTTTTAAACGGAATCTTAAAACCCATCTTTTTAGAAACGTTTTCTATTATTTGTTGATAGCGTACTCCTTTTAACAAGTGTTTTACTTTTAATTTACCTTAATGTTACCAAAGGGCAGCTTCGGTTGGGTTATAAAGGGTCCACAACTTTGGTATTACATACTTTTACACTTTTTGTGTGTTAATAAAATCAAGATGAACATGGGTAGTATATCATTTAATTCTTTCATATTAATTTATAGACTCATCTAAGAGAACAATAAACAGACCAGACACCTACTCTCCTGATTTCTACCAACTTCAAAATATATTGTTACAAGCTTCTTCAACTCCTCACTCACCACAACGATTAGCACCTGGACAGGCCATGGTGCACATGTCAACATTTAAAGACGATAATAACCAGACTGGTAACATGAATACGTTACTGGAAGCTTGTAGACATGGTCCAGTTGCTGATGTTAGACATTTAATAGATCAGGGTACAGATGCCAACAGTAAAGACGTACATGGTAGAACATGTATCTTACTTTGTAGTACATCACTCACTGAACCCATTGCAAAAATAGACTTTATACGGTCAAAGGGAGGTAATATTCAAGATATCGATGATGAAAACAATGGTATATTATATTTGGCTTGTCATTTAGGGACGCTAGAAACAGTTCAGTATCTTGTAAATATAGGGTTAGATATCAACACTAAAGGGTTTAGAAGTAGATCTTGTATAATGGCGTGTAGTCAGTCTAAAACACAAGCAATTGATAAAATAGAATTCTTAAGGAAAATGGGTGGCAATATTCATGATACAGATGTACAAAATGATGGTATGTTACACTTAGCTTGTACATGGGGTACACTTGATACTGTAAGATATCTAATTGATCAAGGCCTTCACATCAATACTAAAGGGGTATGTGGAAGGACATGTATATTGTTATGTAGCGCATCTCAAACACAGGCCATTGAGAAAATAGAACTATTGATATCAAAGGGGGGTAATCTTAATGATACAGATAATTACAATGATGGTATGTTACACATGGCATGTGCTTTTGGTACATTAGATACGATAAGTTATCTGATAGATTTAGGGTTGTGCATCAACAACAGAGGCGAGTATGGTAGAACTTGTATCTTACTGTGTAGTGGATCTGAAATACAAGCCATTGAGAAAATAGAATTTTTAAGGTCAAAGGGGGCTAATATTAATGATAGGGATGACGACAACAATAGTATTTTACACTTGGCGTGTAGATTTGGTACATCAGATACTGTAAAATATCTGATAGATCTAGGGTTGGATATAAACGCTAAAGGTTTTTATGGTAGTACGTGTATCTTACAATGTATTGAATCTAAAATACAAGCCATTGAGAAAATAGACTTTTTAAGGTCAAAGGGGGGTAATATTAATGATAGGGATGCTAATAATCGAGGTTTGTTACACCTTACTTGTGAACTCGGCACGTTAGACATCGTTCAATACCTAGTTAATCTAGGACTGGATATAAACAGTAAAGATGGATCAGGAAACACGCCTGTTTCATTAGGGTTTTGGTCTGATATACAATCTCGTCAAAAAGTTGACTATTTAATCTCTAAAGGTGCCAAATTGTCGAGGTTCATGTCATCAATATATCGTATCAGAAGAATACTTACATCGTAACAATTTACAGATTGAAACAACATAAAAACTTACCATTATTGATTTCATGTTTCCAGCGAATAATATCATTAATAGCTGATTTCATCAAGGGTTGAAGAGTATTTACATATTACAGACTGACATTAATACTATTGACTTGTTGGTACTGATGTGTTATTAATCATCAACTAATGTTCATGTAATAATATCTGCTTTCAATTAACCTGTTTGGTACTGACGTGTTATTAATCATCAACTAATGTTCATGTATTAATATCTGCTTTCAATTAACTTGTTTGGTACTGACGTGTTATTAATCACCGACTAATGTTCATGTAATAATATCTGCTTTCAATTAACCTGTTAGGTACTGACGTGTCATTAATCACCGACTAATGTTCATGTAATAATATCTCTATTTGTTTATATTCCATTCCATTTTATCACCATTGATCCATTATTATTCGTGTGTTTGTAATATTTAACTATCTATATCCATTGTTTGTATATATTATTACCAACTGATCTATAATACTGTCTATATGATCTATAATGAACTATATTTGTTTTTTTATTGTAATCGTTACTGTTATATAATTTACCTACGATCCCATATTATCCATTATATCACCATTGGACAATTATTAATCATGTGTTTGTATTATTCCATTGCTTGTACATATTACCAACTGATCTATAATCATATCTATATCAGGCTATTAAGAGTCATTCCATGAGAAAACCATGCAAAATCTTGCAGAATCGGGAGGATTGGGGGTCGGCAGATCGAGTTCATCTCCGGAGGATTTTATGGACTGACTACTTCACAGCCAGAAGGGCCGATGTCAAAATTTCACCGTTATTGAGAAACAGCCTCTGAATGATTTTTGGCCAATTTTTCGGGTCATTTATGGTCAATTTTCAGCCAGCTATTGTGGCGAGTCTAGGGTTTGGATGAAAATGGTGGTGACTGGTGATGTAAGTGGGGGTCTTCCTGTGCCCCAGTGTAAAGACCATGAAGTCGCATCTATTCGCTGGGAGCAATGATCAGCAAAATTGTAAGATACGGTGAATAAAACAGAAAATATACACCAGCGAAGATTAGCTCTATTTTCTATGATGCGAGGGTAGTTGAAAATATCGAAATGGTTTTATGCACAGCTCGACTCCCCCTATCGATATAAGAAATAAAATCTGTCACCTCTCTTCAATCAAAGCGAGTGAATTTTCCCTATTGTAAATCTCTCATTCTCTATGAAATGGCCTACTACTTTCATTCAGGGTAAGCCAGCTATCTCCGTTCCTTCACCAAATCATTTGCCCGTGCTCACTGGTAGCAGCTTGAAACCCCCTCGAGCAAAACTAGTCTCTTTGATGAGGCTTGATATCCAATCCAAGATGGCCGTCCCCGAAAACGCGCAAAATTGCTGTTTTCCTCATGTTTGGCCATTAAATGTGGTATATATCCCAGATATGACCAAGAGAATCACTTCATACGATTGAAAAAATGTACTAAGGACATTAATGCCCACCTTTTAGCACATCACATAGCAATAAGTGATGTGAGAACCGAATGGGAGCTGATTTCTTGACGAAGCTGCATTAAATGGAATATACCAAACGGATGCATGCTGCCACATCTAAGGAGAAGTCATACAAAGACCGCGTTGTGTCAACTTATACCTATTGGAACGGCTAAGTAAAATAAAATACTATTGAAAAAACAGAGGGAAGAAATTGTGTCTTTGAAATATCGGTGGAAACCCTGTGTGTGTGCTCGACCACAATCAAATTAGCAGGAAACAGTTGTGCGGTGATACTCCAGTTGATTAAGTTAAGCGATGAGCTTCAGAAATCCTCAAACAAGCTGCATTGAGTCTGATATAGCTGTAATACCTTTACTAAAGGCCAGCTCTCTGATTTTTTTTTTAACTTTGGCAGCATTAAAAAATTCTTGTTAATTTTAGAATTATTTCTTCTATGTTATGTATGCCGGAAATATTATGCTGCCCATAATAAGGAAATGGGCTGTCAAGAGAGCCAAGTTCCTACACTGCCTCAGGGTAGTTCCTCGAATAAAAAAATATGGCATAGGGTCAAAAATTCAACTTCATCATATGATCATTTTCGGAGCCAAAAATGGATCTTGCTGTGCCTTTTAAAACTGAATTTGTACATGAAGGACATTTCTATCAGGGGCCACCTCTCAACATATTCCAATCTGATTAAAATACAGATCTATATTTCGTTTTTTTTATACTTTCGATGACCTACACTACATGAAGATCTGACTGGTTGTTGCGATAGGTCACGTCAGAGGTCATACGAGCCGCAGTTGAGTCTATGACGTCAGACATCTGATTAACCAATCAGCAATAGTGCTTCTAGGGGGCTTACCCACAGTTCCGTGCAAAACATGCCTAAAGCTCGCCGTAACAGACCGTTTCATTAGCTAATACCTCACAGAATTCAGAACACGTCAATAGTCGATAAGACTGACATGTTGGACAACCCTTCAATATACAGGGTGTTATTTAGTAGTTTTTATTACGTTATTATTGTCATACACCAGTCGTCAATAATAAATCTTTTATAACATGAATGTATTCAATATATCACGTGATTCCAAATGGCGGTCGTCGAATAATACATCTTTTATGCTCGAGATATTGTTGTACAAATTTTAACTTATATTTATATAGTTATTTATACATGCCTTTCACTAGACGTGGTTATAAAGATATGATTTTAGTTTGTTAATGGATAACAGTTCATTAAAACAAAACTGTTCAGCTGATTTCTGTATCCGACGACCGTATGTTGTAATGGTAAGTTCATCTGATTTCTGTAACTGATGTTATCTGACGACTGTATGTTGTACTGGTAAGTTATTTAATGGTAATGTGATTATCTAAGTCATGTTAGTTTGTGTTATTATGTATGTTGAAATATTTGATATTCCTTAGCATTCAGTTATGTTAGAGTGACCCATCATAAATAAATATCTCCAAATATCTCGACAATTACGCCACAATATTTATATATATGCCAAGCCTCAAATCAGTTTCACACAATTATGTCACTAAATAAAGGATCATGTTGTACTTAATAAGTTATGACCATTAATCATCTATAAGTAATAGACCGAAAACTGGTTCCAATTGTCGTCCATAACATCCAGACACTTTTGAGTAAAAGATAGGTTACGTGCCCTTGTTTTGACATTAGTCTCGCTTAACCAGTCCATCGACCATTCTACGTCTGATTGACAGGTCGGGATAATCAAGACTACTTTTTTACGAAACATAACAGAAAGCTAGAACAAGAAATTGAATCTAGAAATAAGTACTTTAGACAACTCAAAAATTGTTTTAAGAAACTTGTAAAAGTAAAATGAAACTACTGCTAGTATGATGTTCCTGTCTAACCCGAGTGTTTCAGAGATATTATTTGTACTAGACCAAAAGATGCCGCTCTTAACGGTACAGTTAATGATAAAGCAATTTAAAAAATAAAACAAACGTTATTTCTAAAGCTTCTGTAATAACCAATAAGCTAAATTTTACTGCTATTCAAAATCGTCAACAATAGATTTTTTACGGCTGTAATAGTTGATATATTTGTAGAGAATTGCACGTGCCATGGCTATTTATCGACTCAAAGAGAGTGCGGGGTAGTCAGAAATCAGTTCGAGACACGCAATTGAAGCGTGCACATTTAGCCGTGTCGAGACCAACTTTCTGTAGAGTGCACGGGTCACCCTAGTTATGTTCGGCAAAATACGCCAGAAGTCTTAATCGAATGACAATCTCTAGCGTCTGGTTTTTCCAGTCTACTCTATAGCATATGGCGTCACCGTTGGACTTGTGGAATATGTCTAGCCTCTTTCTTCGAGTCCCTTGTTACAGATAGCCCTATGGTACACGATTCGTGTGCCAACGGTAAAATGTTTATTTTGACTGCGTGTGCCAATGGTAAGATCGCAACATCACCACCGGTCGTACGGACGTCCATTCACATTTTGTTTGTGGACATTCTGCAGGTCACAATTATTATCCGATTTTGATGAGATTTAAAATATATGTTCATATCACAATGTTAATGGTTCCTAAATTCACATATAATTCGTGTTTTCAATGTCGCAGACTTTGGATGATACTGAGTTAGAGACCTAGCTAATTTAACATTGTTTCGAGTAGAATGAAATGATTCATAAATCCTTGTTTAAGGGGATATCTTAGGTATAGTGACCATCAGGCTAGTTGGTAATACTTTTGATTCACACTAAACGATACGAATATTATATCCATGTATACTAAACAGAACTTTAATCAAATTATTCTAGAAAACGACTTACTGAATAGATCAGAAAGGTGCCCAAGTTCCGTCACTCACATAACTACACACTCGTTTCTTGTCGTTCGAGTCTGTATGTTCTTCAGGGAGAGAGAGAGAGTAACGTCCACTCGACACAAACTAGGTTATTTCGGGACTAACACATGGTTCAATTATATTTCAATAATTCGCTTGCGCATAGGAGTCTTTAGCAGTGGGGGGAAACCGAAGGACCCGGAGAAAACCCACGAGGTTGGACAGGCGACCCTACTCCTTGTCACGTACAACCAGGGATTCGAAACCACGCCAGTACACTCAATGACGCACGTGCTAACCATTCAGCCATCCAACCCCCCGATAATCGAAATACTACTGCAACAAGAGAAATAACATTCAAGTCTATGGAGAAATAATTGATCTGTGACGATGCAATGTTTTCATCCACGTAGGTTTAAATATATCTGTCGTTTATTCATGCATGACTTGGTTGGTTAGCGTTTTGATATGACAGTGTACTTCAGCTTGAATAGTGAACAACCTGAATGGTGTATAATTAGTTATGTGAGAATTTGTGGCTGATTTTCTTGTAATATCTTTTGGTAATAGATCATATATATATCAAAGACAAATTATAATTAATGATCTTAGTAGGAGATCACACAAATATATTTGTTTGGTGTACAATTAACTGTGTAGATATTGTAATCATTATTTAGGTCAACTTAATCTTTTATGATAGAGGTACGTCACAGGTAATAATATCCAGGCCATTTATACTAAAAGATATCATGATTTCAATATAATTATACGCCATTGTTTCGTTCCCAGAAGGCAGGTTTAGGGTTTTTTAGTAGAGCTCATCTCCTCAGCTTTAACAGGTGTCACTATTGGGCGTGTGTTATAACTCATCTATCATCGATTTCAAACCCATGATTTTATGTGGCAAAGAGTAGTATATCTGGTCTACGATCATTGGTTGTTGCCGTCTACTCCGGTTCGCCCGCTGGATCAAGATCTCGGCGTCGTTTCAGTTTATGTTAATAAGTCACGTGATATCCTATATTTGCATAAAATGTAATGAGAGAAATGTAAAATGTTGACATTTTTCCTATAAGACATTGAATAATAACTTTTAACGTGTTACATTTAACTTTGGCCTTAGAGGTATCTTGACTTTAACATTATCAGGACTTTGTACTTTTACATATAATCAATCGAAATGACATTTATTATCATTTGATTTTGAGTAAACTTATAAGGTATGTTAATAACCCAAGGATTTTGGTTCCTGTCAATATTTTCTCATATAAAACCGTAACTTCATGGAACTTGAAATGTATGTTTATAACCCAACAACCTCGGCTCCTGTCTATATTCACGCATTTTAGACCATGGGGCCCTGATCGTAAGAAAAATCACTTATGTGTTAGCTTGTTCTCTTGCAAAATGTGGGCGTATCTTGCTTACAATGAGAGGATGAGCATTACTGAATGTCCTGCTGTAAAATATGGGTGGATGTTGCTTAGAAAAGGCTGTTTTATTACTTGGCACCATAAAGTCGTGTTATGAATATAATTATTTCATAATAATCAATTAAACCTCACATTATTTCATATCTACATTGTTTTGTTACAGTCAATGGTATGTCTTCCTGATATGTTCATACTAAAAATACCAATAAACAAATGAAATATGGCTTCCTTGAAAGGTAAGCTAAAATATAAAAGTTTCATCAAAATCAGGTAAAAGTTGTGACTGCTAATCATCTTTTGTCCAGAATATCTCAATCGCTAATTGTGTTGTTAACCTGGTTAATGATGTTCAAAATTTTGGTGTAATTTTGAATAATATGAACATGAATGCTTAAATCTCCTAAATCTGTAAAGCTTCCAACCGCAATTTCCTCGACATTGACTCTACAAAACTGTTAATTAACTATTTTTTGACCTCACGTCTCGACTACTGCAACTCGTTACTCTACAACTTACCAGCATATCAAATTAGTAGACTACAGAAGATTCAAAACAAAGCTGAGAGAATTGTTACAAGAACTAAATTATACACCAAAAATATTACCCTCGTATTGAAAGAACTAAACTGGCTACCGATTAAGACCAGAATCGATTTTAAAATTCTCATGCTGACCTTTTGTGCTTTGTCATATGATGACTATCCTCAATTTATTAGGGGGGTTGGATGACTGAATGGTTAGCACGTGCGTGCTGTATCATAAAGTCTGTCATTGAGTCAACTGGCGTGGTTTCGAATCCCCGGTTGCACGTGACAAGGAGTAGGGCCGCCTGTCCAACCTCGTGGGTTTTCTCCGGGTCCTCCGGTTTCCTCCCACTGCTAAAGACCCCTACGCGCAAGCGAAGTATGGAAATAAAATTGAACCATATATTAGTCCCGAAATGAACTAGTTTGTGTCGAGTGGACGTTAAACCCCATTTCTCTCTCTCTCAATATATTAAAGAATTAATTCAACCTTACCACCCTACCAGAATTCTTCGTTCCGAAACTAAGTACCTTATTGTCCCCCGCCTTTCGAAGAAAGCAGGGGACTATTAAAATGAGTTCGTCCGTCTGTCTGTCTGTCTGTCTGTCTGTCCGTCTGTCTGTCCGTCACACTTTTTGGGACACAATAACTCTCTTCCTAATTGAGCTAGAATGTTCAAACTTGGTGTATGTGTTTATTAGGTCAATGCCTTGATGGAGTTCGAAGATGAGCATTTTCCGCTTAGGGTAAGCAGAGATAAGCAATTTGATTGGTTGATGCTTTGGGACACGATAACTCTCTTCCTAATTGGGCTAGAATGTTCAAACTTGGTGTATGTGTTGATTAGGTCAATGCCTTGATGGAGTTCGAAGATGAGCATTTTCCACTTAGGGTAAGCAGAGATAAGCAATTTGATTGGTTGATGCTTTGGGACACGATAACTTTTAATTGAGCTAGAATGTTCAAACTTGGTGTATGTGTTTATTAGGTCAATGCCTTGATGGAGTTCGAAGATGAGCATTTTCCGCTTAGGGTAAGCAGAGATAAGCAATTTGATTGGTTGATATTTTGGGGCACGATAACTCTCTTCCTAATTGAGCTAGAATGTTCAAACTTGGTGTATGTGTTGATTAGGTCAATGCCTTGATGGAGTTCGAAGATGAGCATTTTCCGCTTAGGGTAAGCAGAGATAAGCAATTTGATTGGTTGATGCTTTGGGACACGATAACTTTAGTTCTAATTAAGTGAGATTGATGAAACTTGGTGTATAGTTTCATTACAGTAATACCTTGACTAAGTTTGATAATGAGCATTTTCTGCTCAGGGTAAGCAGAGCGATACGCAATTTGATTGGTCGAGACTTTGGAAAACAATAACTCTCCTACTTTGATTGTTAGACTATAAGTAAAGATATACTGTTTGATTGTTCAATACTTTGTAAAAGATAATTTGTGATAAATTTATATGTGTCCTCTAATTATTTTCCTATTTCGGCGGGGGACATCAGCCTCACTGTTGGCTTGTTAAATCAGTAACTGCAAACTCTCATTTCGGTAGACGCCCCTTTGTTTTTCCGACAGCAGAACTGTGTTATTCTAATGATTTTCCTATAGAACTCAAGCACTGGGTTAGGGTTAATTGACAGTTTTAAACGGAATCTTAAAACCCATCTTTTTAGAAACGTTTTCTATTATTTGTTGATAGCGTACTCCTTTTAACGAGTGTTTTACTTTTAATTTACCTTAATGTTACCAAAGGGCAGCTTCGGTTGGGTTATAGAGGGTCCACAATATTGGTATTACATACTTTGACACTTTTTGTGTGACATTATCGTGAAAATTGTAAATATAATGCCTGATCTGTTAATAAAATCAAGATACACATGGGTAGTATATTGTTTATTTCCTTCATATTAATTTATAGACTCATCTAAGAGAATAACAGATGAACGGATCAACAGGCCAGGCACCCACTCTCCAGATTTCTACCAACTTCAAAATATATTGTCACAAGAACAAGCTTCTTCAACTCCTCACCCACCACAACGATTAGCACCCGGACAGGCCATGGTGCACATGTCAACATTTAAAGACGGTAATGGCCAGAATTGTAACATGAATGCGTTACTGGAAGCTTGTAGACATGGAACAGTTTCTGATGTTAGACATTTAATAGATCAGGGTACAGATGTCAACAGTAAAGACGTACATGGTAGAACATGCATCTTACTTTGTAGTACATCACTTATTGAACCCATTGAAAAAATAGACTTTTTACGGTCAAAGGGAGGTAATATTCAAGATATCGATGATGAAAACAATGGTATTTTTCAATTGGCTTGTGATTTAGGGACGCTAGAAACAGTTCAGTACCTTGTAAATATAGGGTTAGATATAAACACTAAAGGGTTTAGAAGTAGATCTTGTATAATGGCGTGTAGTCAGTCTAAAACACAAGCAACTGATAAAATAGAATTGTTACGAAAAATGGGTGGCAATATTCTTGATACAGATGTAAAAAATGATAATATATTACACTTAGCATGTCATAGTGGTACACTAGATACAGTAAGATATCTAATTAATCAAGGCCTGGATATCAATACTAAAGGGAGATACGGAAGGACATGTATATTGTTATGTAGTCAATCGCGCACACAGGCCATTGAGAAAATAGAACTGCTAATATCACAGGGGGGTAATATTTGTGATACTGAAGATGATAACCATGATATGCTTCACTTGGCTTGTATGTCTGGTACACTAGAGACTGTCAGATATATGATAGACCTTGGTTTAGATATAAAGGCCAAATGTAAAAGTGGTAGAACACCCATATTACATAGTTGTTCTTCAGAAACACAACCCATTGAGAAAATAGAATTACTAAAGTTAAAGGGCGGTTATATTTATGATACGGATGCCTATAACTTTGGTATGTTACACATGGCTTGTTGTGATGGTACATTAGATACTGTAAGATATCTGATAGATCTAGGGTTGGATATCAACACTAAGGTTTTAAAGGTGGTACGTGTATCTTACTGTGTAGTCAATCTGAAATAGAACCTTCTGAGAAAATAGAATTATTAAGGTTAAATGGGGGTAATATTAATGATACTGATACTAACAACAATGGTATGTTACACTTGGCTTGTGCTTTTGGTACATTAGATACTGTAAAACATCTGATAGATCTAGGTTTGGATATAAACACCAAAGGTTTTAAAGGTAGAACGTGCATCTTACATTGTAGTCAATCTGAAATAGAACCTTCTGAGAAAATAGAATTATTAAGGTTAAATGGGGGTAATATTAATGATACTGATGACCAAAATAATGGTATGTTACACTTGGCTTGTGCTTTTGGTACATTAGATACTGTAAAACATCTGATAGGTCTAGGTTTGAATATCAACACTAAAGGTTTTAATGGTAGAACGTGTATCTTACAATGTAGTGAATCTAAAATACAAGCCATTGAGAAAATATACTTTTTAAGGTCAAAGGGAGGTAATATTAATGATAGGGATGCTAATAATGGAGGTATGTTACACCTTGCTTGTGAACTCGGCACGTTAGACGTCGTTCAATACTTAGTTAATCTAGGACTAGATATAAACAATAAAGATGGATCAGGAAACACGCCTCTTTCATTCAGTTTTAAGTCCGGTGTACAATCCCGTCAAAAAGGTGACTATTTAGTCTCTAAAGTTGTGAAATTGTCGTGGTTCATGTGGTCAATATATCGTATCAGAAGAGTACTTACATCTTAAAAATTTACAGATTGAAACACACATAAAAACTTACTGTTATTGATTTTATGTTTCCTGCGATTAACAGCAATGATAGCTGCTTTCATCAAGGTTTGAAGATTATTTACATATTACAGACTGACATTAATACTATTGACTTGTTGGTACTGATGTGCTATTAATCATCAACTAATGTTCATGTAATAATATCTGCTTTCAATTAACCTGTTTGGTACTGACGTGTTATTAATCATCAACTAATGTTCATGTATTAAAATCTGCTTTCAATTAACCTGTTTGGTACTGACGTGTTATTAATCATCAACTAATGTTCATGTATTAATATCTGCTTTCAATTAACCTGTTTGGTACTGACGTGTTATTAATCATCAACTAATGTTCATGTATTAATATCTGCTTTCAATTAACCTGTTTGGTACTGACGTGTTATTAATCACCGACTAATGTTCATGTATTAATATCTGCTTTCAATTAACCTGTTTGGTACTGACGTGTTATTAATCATCAACTAATGTTCATGTATTAAAATCTATATCTGCTTTCAATTAACCTGTTTGGTACTGACGTGTTATTAATCATCAACTAATGTTCATGTATTAATATCTATATCTGCTTTCAATTAACCTGTTTGGTACTGACGTGTTATTAATCATCAACTAATGTTCATGTAATAGTATCTCTATTTGTTTAATTGTCCTTTGGATAATTTATATTCCATTTCGTTTTATCATCATTGATCCATTATTATTCGTGTGTTTGTAATATTTAACTATCTATATTAATTGTTTGTACATATTATTACCAACTGATCTATAATACTATGTATATCTGTATAACGTACCTACCATCCCATGGTATCCTGTATCACCATTGTTGGTATAGATTACCATCCCCTGGTATCCTGTTTCATCATTGTTGGTATAGATTACCATCCCCTGGTATCCTGTATCACCATTGTTGGTATAGATTACCATCCCCTGGTATCCATTCAATATTCCAATGTGATATAATATATTGCTTCTTTATAATATTCATGTATTTCTATAGATTACCAACTGATCTATAATGATATCCATATTATCCATTTTATCACCATTGGTCCATTATTAATTATTCCGTTGCTTGTATAGATTACCAACTGATCTATAATCATATCTATATCCGTTTATTAAAACTAATGTTTTTATCTTGATTACTGTTTTATTTGTATTTTTGTCAGGACTGGGCGTATAATATGTATTATTTCTGGACTGGAGTGTTGTCCCCAGCCTTTCCAAGAGAATGCCAATAAGAAACGTCTGTCCTTCACAAATTTTGGGGCACAATAACTCTTCTTCTAATTAGGGTAGAATGTTCATTCTTGATGTAGGCGTTCATTAGGTGAAATTTATCTTATTCTATCCAGGCTAAACACAAACCTAGAAGTTGACATGAGTGGGACAGGGTTATCTATTATTTGACAAATTTCTTTCTTTTGACACTTGTTTGTGCTATATTGTCTGTTGTGTTTTGCTTTCTAACTAGGCCTAGATTCCCAACATCACACAGTTCTAAAGAGTATTTTCGATAATGTAACGCGAACTGCTCTTGTCCGAACAAGAACTACCTTCAAATTTGTGCTGACGGTCTGCAAATACAATAATAAAGGTTAAAAAACTAATGACCCCGTCAGATCGGGGTGGCATCCTTCCTGCCCGGCTACGGCGACGGAAAGTGGTCTCAGATCGCCAAAAGCGTGGTGGAAACGCCCGATATCGCTCTATGGTCTGTATGATCGCCAAGTCATGACTTTTGTATGGAAAACTGTAAGAACGCGACTTTTTTGCAAGTTTATAATTTTTTTGACATTTTTCGCTTTTTGCTCACGTTTGTCGGCGACCTTGAGCATTTTCTGGTCGATGTATGGTCGCAGCAACGCAGTAAGAACCCCACCTCGGTCTGACGGGGGCATAATGTTATTTGAAACTTCGAAATCAAAACCACCATTGTTGTCAAGAATCCACTCCCTCTTTAGTCTCGGTTAGCAGGCTGTAACTATCTCTATCACAGCTGACAGAACTGATTTCCTGCTCTTGTTACAAAATCCTCAAACGTTAAAAATATTTCAGTGGGGATATCTGAATAACATTTTCTTTCCTAATTTATTTACCAGTGTCCCGAGATTCAACCGAAATGGATTCCATCCCATGGGAATGTGTAGTCGCGCATGGTTCGTCCTACCGTTCTCCGATGCAACCCCGTAATCTGATATATATGTAAATGCGTTACAAACTGCAGCCTTTGTATCATTCAGAACGTTTCCAGCAAAGAGGATAACTCCAGAAATATAAGGTTGCTGAACGCTGAATATCGATAGGGTCCGAGGTTCGTCCTCTCATAAACTTAATACTTCAGAACGTTTCCAGCAAAGAAGGTAACTCCAGAGCAAAAGGTTGCGGAACGCTGAATATTGACTGGGTTCGTGGTTCGTCCTCTCATGAACTTAACACTCCACGCCAAATCGGGCAAAGAGAGGTTAAAGATTATTGTGACCACTTTCACATCAAAAGGTGGGCGTTTACAAATAAAGGTCTTTTTAACGCATCGTATAAAAACAGGGACAACACATAGAGTTTTAAAAGTCTACAACATATGCCCCTAACCCTAGCACGGAACTCGTGCTGACATTGATAATAGCGATGTGAAAATATATCGATAAATTGAAGTCCTATGTAGATAATGTACACAAGAGAGAAATAGCTGACCGACTTTTAACAAAATAGTCGACCCGTGTAAAATAACATTAGACACCAAGAACCGAACATTATCCCACTTCATTATTACATACGTCACTATAGGTCTCAAAATTATACTAAAACCCTGTCCTTTAAAGGAGGGGGTTGGGTGGACGAATGGTTAACGCGTGTGCGTTGGATCAGGAGGTCTGCCATTGAGTCAAGTGGCGTAGTTTCGATTTCCCGGTTGTACGTGACAAGGCGTAGGGTCGCCTGTCCAACCTCGTGGGTTTTATCCGGCTCCTTCGTTTTCCTCCCACCGCTAAAGACCCCTACTCGCAAGCGAATTATTGAAATAAATTCGAACCTTATGTTAGTCGCGAAATGACCTAGTTTGTGTCGTGTGGACGTTAATCTCTCTCTCTCTGGGGTTTAACGTCCTACTGTTCTGACCAACCGCGTAAATAAAGACGGGCATACCCCATGTAGTGTCCTAGGAGGGACATTTTGTCCGGACAGCAGCGCCACGGCCTACTCTTATATCGTATTTCAACTGTCAGGGTATCTTTCACGTGCAAACAACTATGTCCCCGTGGCCGATAATTCTTCAGGCCATTGATGGTCTGTGAATGAAAAAGTATTTTGTAGTTTGAGCTGGTAACGGAGACACGTATATTAAATAGATATGGCGATAGCGGTGTGCAGGGTGTAGTTTAAGCTGGTAACGGAGACACCTATAATAAATAGATATGGCGATAGCGGTGTGCAGGGTGTAGTTTAAGCTGGTAACGGAGACACCTATTATAAATAGATATGGCGATAGCGGTGTGCAGGGTGTAGTTTGAGCTGGTAACGGAGACACCTATAATAAATAGATATGGTGATAGCGGTGTGCAGGGTGTAGTTTGAGCTGGTCATGGAGACACCTATTATAAATAGATATGGCGATAGCAGGGTGTAGTTTACTAGTTTATATAACGTTATTATATTATTTTTTTTATTCAATATATCACGTGATTCCATAATACATCCTTTATGCTCGAGATATTGTTGTAGAAATTTTAACCTAGATTTATATAGTTATTTATACCTGCCTTTCACTACAGACATGGTTATAAAGATATGATTTTAGTTTGTTAAAGTATTGCAAGTCATCTGATTTCTGTAACTAATGTTATATGATGACTGTATGTTGTAATGGTAAATCATCTGATTTCTGTAACTGATCTTATCTGACGACTGTATGTTGTAATGGTAAATCATCTGATTTCTTAACTGGTGTTATCTGACGACTGTATGTTGTACTGGTAAGTTATTTAATGGTAATGTGATTATCTAAGGCATGTTTCATGTTTGCTTGTTTTGTGTATGTCCAAATACTTGATATGCCTTGTATAATGCAGTCCAGTAGAATTTTAAATGTTTATTATATTAACATTTGTCCACTAAGCAGATTTAAACAAATTGGCCGAGAAAGTTCATCCAGATTTTCCGGCGTGGTTCCCCCTTGTCAGTGATGTAGGACGGAGGGCCTGACAGGGACAGCTTTCTAGTCGTTCGGACGGGACAAAAAACCTAGGGTGGCGTGCATGTAAAAGATGCCTTGACAGTTTGAATTCGATATAAGAGCAGGCCGTAGTGCCGGTGTCCGGGCAAAACTTCCCTCATAGCACACTGTATGGCGTATGCCCGTCTTCATTAGCCAAGTTCGGAGTAGAAAAGTAGGACGTTAAACTCGATTTCATTTCATTTCAAAGATTAACATATGTCATCTATTTATTTTGGGATTGCGGAGGGGGATATCAGCCTCACTATTTCGTACCGGGTCTAGTCACACCTTTTAACAGTGACAAGAGAATCAAGTGCAGGTATCTCAAGTACACTAGATATAATTACTACCCGAGCCAGTCAATACAAAACGTACTTGACCAACCGTGACAATTTTTTTTTAAATTATTTATATTATAAATTTCACCTGTAATGCTTTATAGCTTAACCACACCTATCGTTTTCTAATATTTTATTTGTGGTTTGCTTTAAACATTTTCTAGTCTGGGATATGTTTTAATTAAACCGGCAAAGTTTTGGTAAATTTTCCAGACCCAGGACTACATGCAAACACCATGGCCAGCTTATTTTGAAACTGGGGAGACTTATATCATATTACAGCTCATAATTTGCTACTTGTGTTTATCCTTGACTTGCATTAGTAACACGCCCACATTTTGCAAGAGATGGATACAAAAAAGGCTAAAATAAAATGCAACGTTTGTTACAATTACGGGCCATAGTCCACGATATTACGGTCCGATATGCGTGAATATTGAAAGGAACCAAGATCTTTTGGATATAAACATATAAATTTTAAGATCGGATAAAAATTGTGACATCTAAAGGGTCCACAACCGTGGTATTGCATATCTTTACACTACTTGCGTACAATTAGCAGCCATTTTGTCGGGCAGTTTCGGTCTTAACCATCATTAGGGTGTTAAGGTGGTATATTTAAAGGGATTTTTTTCAATCAGACAACAAATGTGACCAATAGAGGTTCCACAAGCTAAAAATAACGCGATTTTTCGTACAAACAGGGGACATAATCCAGGAATTTACTGCCAGATATCCATATACGAAAGGAACTAAGATCTTTGCATTATAAACATACAACTTCATCAATATTGGATAAAAATTGCGACTTCTAAAGGGTCCACAGCCTTGATATTACATACTTTTACAGTATTTGCGTACATAGACCGGCAGTTTTGGTCTCATTTTCACGAAATTCGACATCAACCATCATCATGGTGTAACGGCGATATATTTTAAAGTTTGTATCAATCAGATAAAAATTGTGAAATATAGGGGAACCATAAGATAAAATCGCGATTTTTCGTACAATCAGGGGCCATAATCCATGAAGTTTTGATCCGATACATGCCAATATCGCATGGCGCCGAGATCTTTTGGAGATTAAGCTATATTTAAAGTTTCGTCACAATCGGATAAAATTTGTGACCTGTAGAGTGTTCACAAACAAATCGTGGAGGAACGCACAAGGGCGATGACATAATACATGCACATGAACATGTGGGCGTATAAAAGGCGTATCAATCTCAGATTTCTATCTGAACCATTATTTTGCAGTATATACTTTAATGTTGAGATTACTTCATAATCAATTAAACTTCGCATCTTCTGTTGTTTATGACAAATAATGTTATTTATAATTCCATATCTCAATTTTGTTATTTTTACAGTCAGTGCAATGTCTTGGTGATACCTTCATACATAAACGATCATCAAACAAAAGAAATATGGTTTCCTTAACGGGTAAGAATAATACCAATGTTTTCTTTACGGTAGGACGTTAAACCACATTTCGTTCCATGTTTTATTAAGTTTTAAATAATTCAATAGCTTTTTAATTTTATTGAAATTTATTTCTATATGTCGTATAAGGATTAGGTTGTCTGTTCTGTTAATCAAATCAGATAATTCTTTGTATCTGAAAATGTTTATTTCCTTCATATTAATTTAAAGACTCATCTAAGAGAAGAACAGATGGACGGATAAACAGACCAGGCACCCACTCTCCCGATTTCTACCAACTTCAAAATTTATTGTTACAAGAACAAGCTTCTTCAACTCATTTACCACAACGGTTAGCACCCGGAAAGGCCATGGTGCACATGTCAAACTTTAAAGACTACCATGACCAGAGTGGTAACAAGAATGCGTTACTGGAAGCTTGTAGACATGGTTCAGTTGCTGATGTTAGACATTTAATAGATCAGGGTACAGATGCCAACAGTAAAGACGTACATGGTAGAACATGTATCTTACTTTGTAGTACATCACTCATTGAACCCATTGAAAAAATAGACTTTTTACGGTCAAAGGGAGGTTATATTCCAGATATCGACGATGAAAACAATAGTATATTACATTTGGCTTGTGATTTAGGGACGCTAAAAACAGTTCAGTATCTTGTAAATATAGGGTTAGATATCAACACTAAGGGGTTTAGAAGTAGATCTTGTATAATGGCGTGTAGTCAGTCTAAAACACAAGCAACTGATAAAATAAAATTGTTAAGGAAAATGGGTGGCAATATTCATGATACAGATGTAAAAGACGATGGTATGTTACACTTGGCTTGTAAATGGGGTACACTTGATACAGTAAGATATCTAATTAATCAAGGCCTGGATATCAATACTAAAGGGAGATATGGAAGAACATGTATATTGTTATGTAGTCAATCTGAAACACAGGCCATTGAGAAAATAGAACTCTTGATGTCAAAGGGGGTTAATATTTATGATACTGATACCTATAACTGTGGTATGTTACACTTGGCTGGGATGGCTGGTACACTAGAGACTGTCCGATATCTGACAGATCAGGGACTGAACGTGAACGCGAAAAATATTAATGGCCAAACATGCATCTTAAAATGTGGTGCAAGTCATACACAAGCCATTGAGAAAATAGAACTGCTAAGGTCAAATGGAGGTAATATTTATGATAAGGATAATGAGAGGGATGGCATGTTACACATGGCTTGTGCTGATGGTACATTAGACACTGTAAGATATCTGGTAGATCTAGGATTAGATATAAACGCTAAAGGTTTTAATGGTAGAACATGTTTGTTACATTGTGGTCAATCTGAAATACAACCTATTGATAAAATAGAGTTTTTAAGGCTAAAAGGAAGTAATATTAATGATACAGATAATTACAGTGATGGCATTTTACATTTGGCGTGTGCTTTTGGTAAATTAGATACAGTTAGACATCTGGTAGGTCTAGGGTTGGATATAAACGCTAGAGGTTTTAAAAGTAGAAGATGTGTCCTACAATGCAGTCAATCTTATATACACGCCACTGAGAAAATAGAATTTTTAAGGTCAAAGGGGGCTATTATTAATGATAGGGATGACCAAAATAATGGTATGTTACACTTGGCTTGTGCCTGTGGTACATTAGGTACTGTAAAACATCTGGTAGATCTAGGATTAGATATAAACACTAAAGGCTTTAATGGTAGAACATGTATCTTACAGTGTAGTGAAGCTAAAACACAAACTATTAAGAAAATAGAATTTTTAAGGTCAAAGGGAGGTAATATTAATGACAGGGATGATAAAAATAATGGTATGTTACAAATAGCATGTGCTTTTGGTAAATTAGATACAGTTAGACATCTAGTAGGTCTAGGGTTAGATATAAACACTAAAGGTTTTCATAGTAGAACGTGTATCCTACAGTGTAGCCAATCAAGAACAGACCCCATTGAGAAAATAGAATTATTACGGTCAAAGGGAGGTAATATTTATGATATTGATGATAAGAACCGCGGTATATTAGACTTGGCTTGTATATCGGGTACATTAGACACAGTAAGATACCTGATAGATCTTGGGTTGGATGTCAACACTAAAGGTATTAATGGCGTAACATGCATCTTAAAGTGTGGTGCAAGTCAAATACAATCCATTGAGAAAATAGAATTGTTAAGGTCAAAAGGGGGTAATATTGACGATAGGGATGATGATAATAAAAGCATATTACACATCGCTTGTGCTTTTGGTACATTAGACACCGTTCAGTATCTAGTACATCTGGGACTAGATCCAAACAGTAAAGATAAATCAGGAAACACGCCTGTTTCATTCATGTTAAAGTCTGGTGTACAATCTCCTAAAAAACTTAAATATTTAATATCAGCAGGTGCCAAACTGTCATGGCTCGAGCGGTTAACATTCGTGTATCATTCTTTATTTTAACAGCTCCTTGATTGAGTCGACTGACGTGGTTTCGAATCCCCGGTCGTACGTTTCAATGAGTAAGGTCGCCTGTCCAACCTCGTGGGTTTTCTCCGGGTCCTCCGGTTTCCTCCCACTGCTAAAGACCCCTATGCGCAAGCGAATTATTTAAATAAAATTAAACCATATGTTAGTCCCGAAATGACCTAGTTTGTGTCGAGTGGACGTTAAACCCCATTTCTCTCTCTCTCTCTCTTTAACAGCTCCATCAAACACATTTTCCTGTATTTAACATTTATATTTATAGTTTTTAACAATCTGATTAAAACACAGATCCTATTTAGTTTCGTTTTTTTATAGTTCAAAATTTCTTTTAACTTGACTTTACTACACTAGGATCTGGAAGAGTTATTATCATTGACGTGTTCTGGATGATGTCAGGGATTAGACAATGAAACGGTCTGTTACGGCGAGTTCTTGCCCTTTTGATCCACGGAATTGTGGGTAAACCACTGGAAACGCCAACGCTGATTGATTAATCAATGTTCGAAGTCATAAGGTCAAAAGCCGTTCTCTTTGACCCCTGACGTAAACCCCCATTATAACTTGTCAGATCTTTATGTAGTGTAGGCCATCGAAAGTATAAAAAAAACCGAAACGAAATATAGATCTGTATTTTAACCAGATTGAGTTTCTGTGATATTTGCTTTTATTTGTGTACATGAATACTTTGTGATATTGTATAGTTTGTCTCATACTATTCACCATATGTTTGGCACAATATAGCCTGTTTGGAGCTGTCTTGCCAAAAAAGTCTTTTTCATTCACTCACTCATTCGCTATCTCGTCGTAAAGCAGTTTTATTCAAGTTGACATAAAGTTCATGTAATATAGTGATTGTTATTCAATTTTGTCAATCTTAGAGAGGTGCCTATAAAACTGAGCAATTTGAAGTTTAGGGTAGGGTACTCCCTTTGAGTGAATTTGAAAATTTGAGTCAATATCCTGGCTTTGGAGGTCTTGATCTGGGAGCAAATTCTTGTGAACGAGAGGGTCGGAAAGCGGAGTCAAAGAGAGTCTGTTAATTACCCTGTTTTGTGAGAGTTAACAACAAATGTGTACAGTCTCTCTCCCCCCCCCCCCCCTCACTAGTGGCACTACTAACAGGGTGATTCACTACAACTGTGAATATGATAGTGATGAGATTGTACAAGACCACAGATCAAGAACGAAAGAATAATGACATAATGGAATCGAGAGCCGTGGAGGAAGAATGAGGTTGGAAAGGCGACCCCAAACCTTGTCACGTACAACCTGGGAATCAAAACCACGCCAGTTGACTCAATGACAGACCTTATGATACAGCGCGCAGTTACTAACCATTCGGCCATCCACCACCCGCTCCTCTCCCACAGGAGTGGCGGAAAGATGATGACATAATGGAATCGAGTGTCGTAGGTGCGAAATATATTTCGGATCGCAACGTATAATATGTAATTAAGCTTTTAATTTTTTTGGAACTGGGCCTAAGTTTCCTGACATTTGAGTTTATTGATGGGTGCAAATTCTTGTCAACGAATGGTTTAGAGTGTCGTGCTTTGGGCTCTAGTTGGTCGGTCACCTGTGGCTTGCGATACCTGGTGTGTGCGATATTGGTTTTGATACCTGGTGTGAGCGTATGTACCTCGGAGATATGGGCACTTTCTCAACCTCGTGGGTTTACTCCGGGTACTCCGGTTGCCTCCCACAAGAAAAACACGTGCGCTAAGATAAGCGGATGTTAAACACCAAGAACAACAAGAGTTGTCGCCCTACGAAACATTGACTAATCCTGCTACTAACTGAACGATTCAATAGATACCGTGAATATGATAGTGACGAAAGAGATAATACCACACCCCCTCACTAGTGGCACTACTAACAGGGGGATTCGCTACAACTGTGAATATGATAGTGATGAGATAGTATAAGACCACAGAGGAGTGGAGGAAGAATGGGGTTGGAAAGGCGACCCTACTCCTTGTCACGTACAACCTGGGAATCGAAACCACGCCAGTTGACTCAATGACAAGCCTTATGATACAGGGCGCAGCTACTAACCATTCGGCAACCCACCAGCCCCTCCTCTCCCACAGGAGTGGCGGAAGAATAATGACATAATGGAATCGAGGGCCGTGGGCGCCAAAAAAATTCAGACAGCTGCGTATAATATTTAAGTAACTATATTTATTCGCGCCTGATGACAGTTAAGGGGCTGATTACGATGACACGTACGGTGGATAGTTACATGTTTATAGAATGCAACCTCCATGTTTGTGTATCTCAAAATGTCAGTGGTCAACCTCATACAAACATTAGGACAGAAACATGGCTAGCTGTTCCTCTGTTTGTTGTGAAAAACTTTCAACCCATCGAAAATCTGTGGAAAAGTTAAGGGTCGGACAAATAGACCCGAATGAACATACGTCGGCGGTCAAATCGGTGGTGGTTTAAATCCTCAAAAATCGACTCATAAACTGAGGTTGTCTCCCTTTCATCTTTCCCCTTTCTCTCTCTCCTGGAGCCGTTAATGATAATAACTTTATTTATTGCAAATGAAGAAGAACCGCACCACACACAAAAAAAACCGACAGGACAAACCTGCGGACATTGCAAGAGTAAGCAGCAAATATCTATTCAAATGAATGGATCGGGGGACAGTCGTAAAGGTCCACTGCGCTGTACACGTTAGTCCGAGCGGATGTTAAACACCATCACTCTCTGTATCCATTAGCCCATTAGTGAGCAGAAATTCGGCCGTGTATCTGTTATCACTCGTCACATTAGTCAGTTATATAGAGAGATGACTCGTGTTTTCCTTTGTCGTTCGTCACTTCCGATTCAGGAAACCTGTATTACTCAGCTATCGTAGCAATGATCTCTGTTTTAAAATTATATTTGGAATGGAATGTATTTAACCAGCTCTATCACATATGTGATAATGACTGACACCAATATTGTCCTTAAAATGATTGTAATAATGATTGTAATCACAGAGTGTTTACAGGTTATGAAAATCATTATACCTCGATATAATGATAATGAATGCCCCCTCTCTCTCTCTCTCTCTCTCTCTCTCTCTTTCTCACATATGCCTCACTTATATCTGTCTCCAGTTTATGGCAGTTATATCAATTTATATCTTTAACATTTCTAGATATGTCTGCCTATCCTAAATCACAGCTGTACATACGATACCAACAACACGCGCAGATGCACGTGCACGATATGATTAGTGTGTAAATATACATCTGGTGTGGTTATTTTATGATAAGATATATATATTTAATTATCATACATGCTGTCTTTTATCAACGCCAGACCCGTACTTATAATGTCAAACTAAATAATGTCATGTGCGAACTTAGGGATGGGGGTATTCGGGAGTCGGGCCCCTCTCGTCTTAAAAAAGTGAATAGATGAAATGAAATGGGGTTTAACGTCTTACTGTTCTGCTCCGACTGGTCTAATGATGGCGGGCATATGGCATATGGTGAGCTATAAGGGAAATTTTTCCCGGACATCGGTGCTACGGCCTATATTCTAATATCGAATTCCAACTGTCTAAGCAAGGGGTCTCGATTTTTCGTCCCGCCCGAACGACTAGACGGCTGTCCTTGCTAGGCTATCCCATCCAGCACCACTGACATGGGGAAGCCACGCTGGAAAATCCTAATGAACGTACTCGGCCAACACCGGGACAGAACCCGGGACAGTCCGCGGACGGGGGAGAGAGAGAGAAATGGGGTTTAACGTCCACTCGACACAAACTAGGTCATTTCGGAACTAACATATGGTTTAATTTTATTTACATAATTCGCTTGCGAGTAGGGGTCTTTAGGGGGTCTTTAGCAGTGGGAGGAAACCGGAGGACCCGGAGAAAACCCACGAGGTTGGACAGGCGACCCTACTCCTTGTCACGTACAACCGGGGATTCGAAACCACGCCAGTCGACTCAATGACAGACTCTATGATACAGCGCGCGCACGCTAACCATTCAGCCATCCAACCCCCCGTCCGCGGACGGACGGAAATGAAATGAAATTAAACTTTGATATTCATGGGCTCCATAGACTCTGGGGCGGTGCACCAGCTGCACCCCGCTCTCGTGAGGCCTGGGAAATGGAAATATATTACTTTATAGAAAGCATCTTCTACACTTCAAATCCAATATTTAAATAATTTCATAATTAAAATTAACAAAATAATGGATAAGTTAAATTATCAAAAGAACGCTCTTGTTGGTTCTTTTCGGCGATTAGCAAAACAATTTTTGTCCAAATTTAATTGTTCATAATGTTTTAAATTTCGTAAGAAATCATTTGAATTTCGGAGGTGTATAATATGTATATGTATATCTGTAAGACATTTCCTTGACGGTCATTTTTTGCGATATCGGCAAATAAAAAAACGCTCTAGTCGACTCATGTCGGTGATTAGTCAGACGCTTTTTATCAAAATTTCACTTATCCATAATTTTGTCAATTTTTTATGAAAACATTAAAATTTTGGGTGATGTGTACAAAGCGCACATCAATGATATATCTTTCCTTGTCGGTCAGGTTTTGCTATACTTTGGTAGATATTGTAATAGTGTGATAATCTTGGCTATAGACACTACCTTTTAGTATTTTCTGCTCAAATTCTGTCACTATGTTGAACGAATTCAATATTTAATATTATTGTTTTTTATTTTTAGATCAATCAACTAATAATATATTATTTTTTGTCCTATCGTTTATATACAGACACAGGGATGCTTTTTTTTCTAAAACAGAAGAAATTGTAATCGTGTGATAATCTGTCTATCGCCATGTCACTTTTAATTACAACATTTACTTTTATCCTGTTTATGACTGTTATCTGATTTTCCTTAAATATAACAAATTTGTACATTGATGACAGTCACTATTTATGTTCCGGTATATTAAAGAATTCAAGAATCATTCGAAGTCTGTTATATCCGACGATAGAATAATACACCTCTAAAATATTGACCAAAATTCTCTCCTGTCGGGGATTCGTAGGTCCAGTGTCTCATACATGTGACAGGAAGATATTTTAAACAACGGATGAAATCAAATATTTATCAAAATTAGGAAAGGCAGCTTGTACTAACAGTAATACGTTCAAATTTTACAAAACTTAATTTTGTATGATTCTGTGATTGGATGACCCCGTGATAAAGGATGCCCGGGGCACCCCCCCCCCTCCCCTCTACAGTTTGGCGCACTTTACTCTAAGCCATGCTAAAAATAAATAAAGTGTAGGCCTATTCTAGATTTTAAAATTGTGACTACTTTAATGTATTGCAATAAAAACAAACTACGTCGCTCATTTCCATCGCTTGAGTTTGAGAAACGAAATTATTCGATTGAAGACTATTATAGAGATTTACATGAAATTGTTGATATTCGGACATTGAATTTCAGTAGCTACTCTAAACCACGGAACAATAAACCGTGATCAACTGGAAGCCGCTGTGGCTCAGTGAATAAGATTGATTCGAAATGAAATGAAATGAAATGGGGTTTAACGTCCTACTGTTCTACTCCTATACTGGGCTAATGAAGACGGACATACGCCATACAGTGTGCTATGAGGGAAATTTTGCCCGGGCAGCGGCACTATCGCCTACTCTTATATCGAATTCCAACTGCCAAGGGATCTTTTACGTGCATTCCAATATATACACGGGACCTCGGTTTTTCGTATCATCCGAAGGACTAGACAGCTGTCCTTGTCAGGCCCTCCGTCCTGCACCACTGACAAGGGGAAACCACGTCGGGAAAATCTGGATGAACTTTCTCGGGCAATGCGAGATCGAACACCCGACCTCCAGGCTAGCGAGCCGGCGTCTTAACCACCTAGCCACAGATTGATTCAATTATCTAAAGATCCCGTGTTGGATCCCAGTGTATGCCGAGATAGTTTGTCAGTGGTTTAGAGTGTAGAGTCTGGCAAGGGAAACATATAGTCGTTCGGGTGAGAAGAAAAACCGAGGTCCCGTTGACACATTGGAGTGCACTTATAAGAATTCTTAAGGATTGGAATATAAAATAAAAGCAGTGGCACATCCGGGATGGGGTGTGTGTGTGTTGGGGAGGGGGGGCTTTTGGTAAAAACACTTTTTATGAGAACAGTTTAACGTTCGTGTGCTATATCCTTTATCATCAGATGGTGGGATGGGATAGGCATTCAAAGCGCGAGATAATGATATATAGACATATTATGTGATATCACAACTAATGCTTTGCATCAATGAAATTGAATCACAATGTGATCGTATTAATTCATAATAAAAATTGCCATCAAGCGGGGTGTTAGGTTTTTCTCTTTCAAGGCCGGATGGTGGGATTCTAGGGTTGACCGTATTCCTAACCCCAAGCACCCCCCCCCCCCCCCGGCCGCCCCCACCACCAACAAACATTGTCTCAAGAACATGTCCGCCCCTGAAGAATTCGCCATGACGCCGGTGTGTGTTTGTCTTCATTAGCCCAATCGGGACAGAAAGTTAGTACGTAATTAAACCCCATTTCATAACCTGATCTACTTTGGACTCACAATGCAAATGTAATTGGGGCAAGGTAATTTACCAGAGAGCCGACACCTTCATCACTTTGATTATCACATCTTACTCAAATCGTTCGAGCCTTCTTTTATTAAAAAATAATGTTTAGTCTTATGTGAACAAATTCATAATTTTAATAAAAATATAATTTATTAGTCGGCTTCTATATTATTATTTTGTATGATAGACATGCATTCAATGGTTTGTTGAACTGGAAAAAAGAAAAAAGAAATTCAGGGTAGGGTGGGATGTGGCTTTGTTGATTTCTACTTGCCAATAGCATAATTAATTGTTGAGTGGGTGAGTCTTTTTGTAAATTCACTTAGTAGAAAGCCGTACACGCTGAATTGCTTTGGGTTTTTAGTGTTTGCGTTTAGCTAGCTACGAGAACGTAGCTAAAAGCGTTGAGATATACTGACGGAGGGTTGAGAGAAAAGGTTTGCTATCTAGCGTTTAGCCCCCCCCCCCTTTTTTTTTACTAAAGACGTGGAAGCAAATTTATTTATTACAGAAGTTTACAATGTTTACATCTTCACTCATTATTTTTACGCCTTAAATTCTTATCGTTGTTTTTCAAAATTATATATCTTTAAAAATAAATTAGGCCCAGTCAAAGATTGACAAAATAAAACATAAAAACAAGACATCACATTGTTTGTTTTACAGCTGGAATAACAACAATGATTTGAGAACCGTTTAAGGAAAGTGTCGTTATCATCTAATTGTCTCATTTAACTCGAGTGTTTATCAATAATCGTGCAATTACCAATTAGTAATTAATGCTAAATATATCAACATTCACACGTGGTCAGAGGGTGGATCACGCCAAATTAATCAAGCAATCAAACTAGACGTTACTTCTTTTATTAGTGCGTGACGAAAGAACGGTGATTACGATTGGTTGAGTTTACCACGCAGGCGTAGTAAAGTGTCAGTGTAAACATTGGCTGCCAGGTGCTGGCAGAGAAATAACCTGTGTCCATTTCTTTATTTTAAGAAAGTTACTTTTAAAAGTTTGTTTATTGTGTTTTATCAATTTTGGATTACATGTGAACCTCTGAAAGTTTGGATATTACATCTCTGTGCTTTATGGTACTTGCCAGACGACCGTGAAAAGTTTTTAAAAGAACCTTTTGCGACCTGCAGCGCGGTTATTTGAAAGCTGTCTCGGCGTAAGAGAGTCACAGCTTTTCTAGACGAGAGAAGTCTGAAAATGACAACAGTGTGAAATTCTTGACTGGATTTTATATAATCATGGGGAAAGATCAAGACTTGATACAATTTGTGAAGGAGCAGGATATTAGTGCTCTGAATAAACTTCTTCAAAAAGTTGGAAAAAATCCCAAAACAAGTAAGTTTGTCGACTTTCTTTCATTTTCAACCCGTCTTATTGATCGCATTGTATTCGTCAGCTCAATGGTGCATAGCTCGATGTGAGTCGATGTGTGAATGAAAAGAATAGACCGTCACCGTGTTGTCAGTTGTAATCACCAGGGCTAGTCTAGTCACACACGTTACGTAGCCCCCTCCTTAAAAACTGACATTCGCAAAGTTGACATGACAGTTGGCAAGTTGCTTTGTTGTTGATTTTCCTTTGAAAGCCGTAACAGTTTGTCATCAGTCAACAAAGACGCAGCCGCCTTTCCGGTGAAATATTACAAAATAAATTCTCCTTTCATTCGGTATACCATTTATAAATTCTGTATCTTTTGTTTAGCAATATTAAGAAAGATTTTTGTGACATTCAACTGAACCCTCAACCAGCTGTTACACTGGTCCATTGAATATGGTATCAGTATCAGTTGAATATATAGGGAAATTTTATCATTCTAATAATTAAATGACGACCCATTCATATAGGATTAAAAATAGAGGTTATATTAAATTTTGCGCGGTTTTCGTCCTAATCTTAGCCCTACACTACATGTATTACTATTAATACATGTAATTATACACTTTTTGAAAGTTGCACCAGGATGTAATATCTACTCTAGCAGTCCATTTTCATTAAAATGGAAATACCCTGACTGTAAGATCTACTGTAAGTCAAGTGTAAGACTGAGAGCAGAATGCAGCCAATCCACACATCATCGCATGTATTGTAAAGCAACACAAAATTACCCAACTGAAGCAAATTAAAACAAACAAACAAAATACAACATTTTTTTTTTTTTAGCTAAAACCACAGTTTTGCTTTAAATCAGAAAAATAGTGTAGATTAACAATTATTCTAGCTAACTAACATCGGCTTGTTAACCGTCTTTAATGAATTGTTTTTTAAAACTTAAAAATTTGTTTGGATCCAGTGTCCAGTGTAATAAGCAAGTTTATAAATGAACCTGCTGCCCTGTGAATTATAATGCAGACAACTGTGGTGTATGTGATGTACACTAAAGGTGTCTATGATATAAATGAATATTAACCCTCTGTATCTCACAGTTTAAACAATGACATAACTTGATATTCACTGTATTCTTCAATACACCATGGGTGTACATGTACCAGGAAAATGGATATTAAAGATGTGCTGTTAGAGCAAGATTTAAAAATTTAACAATGAAATGGATAATCAAGCGTACATCTAATTCCCTGTTAAGCCAGGGAATCAATCGGCGTCGAAATTCGCCTAGTGTGTCCACTGTCATTCGGCCTAATTTGTATTCGGCTGCATGATTCGCCCGAAACAAACAGGTTTGATATATTCGTCCGAATTATATTCGCCTGGTGTGTCCGCTTCGCCGAAGCATTCGGCTGAATATAGAATTCATTAGCCAATCACCACTCATATCGAGAAGTCACGTGATAGATTGAAGACATAGACGCCGCTATGTTTAATCATGTGACGTGAAAGGTGATGCAATCGACAGGTTGAATCGGGCGAAGCATTCGGCTAGTGTGTCCACCCATTCGACCGAATAAAATTCGGCGCCGATTGGTTCGGCCGAACGAATCGGCTAATGTGTCCACTGCTTTATCAAGTAGGCTACCAATTCTTCAATAATAAACGGTGTACACTACATCTTCAAACTCTCATAACTTTGTTCAGAATAAAGAAATTAAAAAGTACCAAGAAAATTGGTATTAAAGATGCATTATACATGTATGTATGTAAGAGCGAGATTTAAAAATTCAACAATAAAATATATAATCGAGACTACATGTACGTCTTGGTTATCAAGTAGGCTACCGTTGCTTTGATAATAAACAATCTACCCTACAACTTCCAACACTCATACATTGTATCTTCGCTCAGAATAAAGTAATTTGAATGAAATTTTCAATATGTGTCCATTTTTCATTATCAATATTTGAACTATTACTATTATAATAAGAACGGTCAGCTTTTTATCTAAATCTTACATAATGTATCTTGAATATTAAACATATTCAGATATAAAACTTCCCACCCCTAATAGAAAGTGCAGATCAAGGGGGGGGGGCACTCGGCGCATGCTCTTCCCCCCCCCCCCCATGTTTTTGCGGTAGCGAACAATTTTTTGCCCCATATATTCCCGCGGGAAAGATGAACAAATATACTTAAAAATGGTAGTGATTCCCGTCATCAGTCGGTGGTTCCTGTGTCCTTGTGTGGTGACTTGGTTGATTGCCGGGCTTCGCACTCCCCAAGTGGGGACAGCACGCCTCCCCCCTTTCTGAAAATCCTGATCTGCCCCTGGAAAGTGGTCGTCTTTGTCTGTTTAAAAGGGGCTAGTACTTGTAGTAAGCACAGGGACTCTCTGAGGGAGACCGCATCACAAACAATTACATGTACAGAAGACAAACCTATAGACAGGACACAATATTTAACAGACACCACAATCAAAGTGCACATATCAGATCAAATGAATGGATTTTATATGTTTGTACTACCAGATTGTACATATTAAACTGAATGCTGTCCATATTATGTAAAATCCATGGTCCACTGAAAATAATCCCTTTAAACAGTCAACAACCTGCTAATCCCTCATATAGATTGACCTACATGTAATTCATAAACAACATGGCTGGTTCACTGATTATCACATTGACTGGCTTGCTGAAATGGGGTTTGACATGTCCGACTGGACTAATCAAAATGGTCATACACCATACAGTGTGCAATGAGGGAAATTTTGCCCAGACAGCGGCGCTACGGTCTACATGTACCCTTATATTGAATTCCCACAGCCAAGGGATCTTTTACTTGCACGCCAATGTGTACACGGGAATCAGTTTATCGTCCGTCCAGACAACTTGTCAGGTCCTCTGTCCTGCACCAATGACAAGGGGGAGCCACGCCAAAAAATCCTGATGAACTTTCTCTGCCAAATGCAGGGATCAAACACGAGACCTCTGGGTCAGCAATCCAACATCTTATTTCACTGAGCCACCGTGACTCACGGCTGGCTGGCTAACCAGAAGATACTGAGATACTGTGGTATTTTTTTACCTGGTTTCCCTGTGGGTGGTGCAGGATGAAACATCTTGTCATTCGTAAGGGAGAAAAAAATGAGGCCCTATGTCCGTACCATTGATTGTAATGTTAAGACATGTGCAGCAGACCAGCACAAAGTTAAAATACCAGCAATAAGTTTATAAATTATCATCACCATCATCAATGATAAAATAATACATGTAGTTGTCAGCATACAATGGATATTTACATGTAATCTTGTAAATGTAATTACGGTAGCATATATTTGTACGGTATAAAGTCTCTTAAAGACATTTATAGTATATTATCATGAATTTACATGTACATGTACAATGTAGCATGTAGCCTACTTGAACTTGAACTTTTATTACAGGCGAAGCAAAAAGTTTGCTATAGCCAAAAACATATATATATATAAATAGTATGCCTTGTAAATTATATATATACATAGATAACAGTATACAATATATAATTCCCCTCCCCCTTTATAAACTCTATTGTATACCCATATCACTGAAAATAAATACATATATATATAAATATATAATTAAATAATCCCATCCAAACCTTCCCCTCCAAGAAACACCAACACAAACCTAAAGAAGTTTCCCATTTCCCATTAGGTATGGTTATCTAATGGTTTTTCTCTAATTTTTATTGAGTGATACAGATATTTTCCAAGATTAAGCAGTTTTATGTATTAATACCGTGACTCATGAGGTTTTTTAGTTTTTGAAGTGATGGAAAAGGACAAAAATATCGCGAAAAAATTTTTCTACGGATGGATATATAAGCTGGACAGCACAGCAGAAAGTGAAATTCATCTTCAACCACTTTCATATTATATTGTACATTGTTACTTGATAGAGTAATAAACTAAATGTATAAACAATCTATTTATAACGGCTACCTACAATGTACATGTACAGTTGTACCTCCAAGAGTCTTCCAAAAGTCTCCTAAAAATATTAGTACATAGCTGTTCTGTTTTCTATAAATGTGTGTGGTACCAGTACATGTATATAATATACAGTACCTACGTGTACATGTATACAATGTAATTTTTCTTTGAAACTGAAGAAATGATAGTGTAAATACATGTACATTTGATTGTAGATGTTGATGATAATGCACAGTACATGTAGCTGGGTGTAGATGAGTTTAATATTAATACATGTGAACACATTAATTAATATGTAAAGACTATTATTATTAAGTAGATTTATACAGGTATCATATTTTTAATATCAACTCATTAAGTGATGATTTATTGATCCACGTCTTCTAACTGTTCTACTCCAGTTGGGTTAATTAAACCGGTACATGTATTTGCCAGCCTACTCTTTCATGTACATGTATAGTGAATTCCAACTGCCAAGGGGTATTTTACATGTATGTGCACGCCAATCTGTACACGGTTTCTCGGTTTTAGGTTGTTTAGGTGACTGCCAATCATTAAATTAACCGCTTAAAGATTAGCTGGCTAGTAAATCTTTAACCTGCCATCACCCTAACCGGTTGACGAGTTCCGGTATATTTAATAAGAATGCCAATTATCGAGTGGCACCTGAGGTTTCTATAGTTCCAACTACTGTACATGGTCAGATTCGATTAAAAACAGAGTTCCACAAATTTTCACGTTGAAAATTGAGAAGACGGAAAATGGCGCTGTCAGGGTAAAACATACGTTTAAATTTATTTGTCACAAAATGATCAAAATACTATGTTGCCGTTAACCCCTTTTCCTTTCCCTCCCTCTATTAACAAATACAGTACAGATTATATCGGACACAGTTGGTCATTATTTATTTAATATTAAAAAAATAATAATCCAGCGTATTATTAATTCAAGAATTCATCGATGCACACTACTAGTACATTGTTATACATCGACTACAATTGGTTTAATATAATAGTCCAGGAAATTATTAAAA